TGATGGCCCCTTCTGACCTTAAAGTCTCTGAGTCTAAATGGATAAATTAAACAGTAATAAGTCACCAGGACCAGATGTATTCACCCAAGGTTTCTGAAGGAACTCAAATATGAAAATGCAGAACTACTAACTGTAGTATGTAATCTATCACTTAAATCAGCCTGCATACCCAGTGACTGGAGAGTAGCTAATGAAATGCCTATTTTTTAAGAAGGCTACAGAGGCAATCCTGGCAATTACAGGCCAGTAAGCCTAACTTCAGTATGGACAAATTGGTTGAAACTGTAGTCAAGAATAGAATTAACAGACACATAGAAGAACACGTTATGTTGGGAAAAGAGTCAACAAGCTTTTGTAAAGTGAAATCATGCCTCATCAATCTATTAGAATTCTTTGGGGGTGTTAACAGACATGTGAACAAGTGTGATCCAGATAAGTAGCTGGACTTTCAGAAAATCATTGACAAGGTCCCTCACCAAAGGATCTTAATCAAAATAAGAAGTCATGGGATAAGAGAGAAAGTCCTCTCATGGATTAGTAACTGGTTAAAAGATAGGAAACAAAGGATAGAAATAAATGGCCAATTTTCAGTGGAGAAAGGTAAATAGTGGGGTCCCCTAAGAATCTGTATTGGGATCAGTGCTGTTCAACATGTTCATAAGTGATCTGGAAAAGGGGGTGAACAATAAGGTGGCTAAATTTGCAGACAATACAAAAATTACTCAAGATACTTAAGTCCAAAGCTGACCGTGAAGTGGATCTCACAAAACCGGTTGACTGGACAATAAAATGGCAAAACAACAAATTCAGTGTTCATAAGTGCAAAGTAATGCATATTGGAAAACATAACTCCAACTATGTATACACAGTGATGGCCAAAAGTATAAATGGGTTCAAAAAAGAATTAGGTAAGTTCATGGAGGATAGGGCCATCAATGGCTATTAGCCAAGATGCTGAGGGATGCACTCTCATGCTTTGGTGTCCCTAAACCTCTGACAGCCAGAAGCTGGTACTGGATGCCTGCATATGCATCACTTGATAATTAACCTGTTCTGTTCATTCCCTCTGAAGCATCTAGCACCAGTCACTGTCAGAAGACAGGATACTGGGCTAGATGGACCATTGGTCTGACCCAGTATGCCTGTTCTTATGTTAGCCTTCTATCTGGACAGAACCAAACCATTTTAAAAGCCTCTGAGACTGTACAGTTTGCTGAGAGATTCCTTTCTCAACAGAGACCCAGAAAGGAAAGACAAGTTTCCCCACAATACCCTGTGAAGCAATTCATAGAGAGGCTCAGCTTAGTGGAGCACTAAGAACCATCGGCTATGGTCCCAGAAATCCTAGTGTATAATTCAGGCTATTGCGGGACCAATGTAAATGTGGCTTGATAGGTATGCATCACAACTTAAGTGTGGCTTCAAGGTATGGATGCTTGCAGGTAGTCTTGGCTAGCTCAGATACCTTTACTTGAGTGTCTGGACCTAGGTAAACTCTGCAGTGAAGATATAACCTCAGGGTCAGGCCCACTTTTCTCAGATGTTGATATTCAGGATCAGTTTTATATTAACCTTTCCAGAGAGCTAACTTAATAGAAAATTTATGTTCTGTTTTCAGTGCTCTACTAATAAATGCCAATATATTACAAGATTCTTGAAAAATTCTCAAGAGGAAAAATAATTCTCTCTCCATTCATTTTCCCAGTATCAAATATGATCAAATTTCCTGTCAACAGGGAATTATCAATTATTGGGGGTTTTCTAACATGGTACCAAAGTTCTCAGCCCAAGACTATTCAAAAATTTTAATAATGAACATGGTTTAAACAAGAAACATACAGTTTTCACAGGATAAGGGAAAACTGTACTAAAATCAAATATGAAACACTTGGTTTTAGCAAGCTTTAGACCATATCTAAAAAACTTTCAAGTACACATAAAATGGTAATGAAAATGCCTTTTAGTTTTTTACATGTATATTTATAGAAAACTCTGCATTTCACAGTATGACTGTAGTAGGATCAGTAATTACAAGAATACCTTATGATAGATCAGATTGTGTTCCACCAAACCAGTCCACACGACTGATGTTAGTCACACTGCTACTACTAGAAGGCACTCAGATTCTATGTTGATGAGGGAGGTACCAGAACCTGAATTGAAAAGAATAGTTTAACCTGATTTTCATTCTACACAGAATCACAGACATTAGATCATTTATTTTGTCAATCCCCTTTTCAGTGCAGGATGTTTCCCTACAATATACTTTCTAGCAGGGAGAAATCACAACATGTGAGAATTGGAATCCATCTCCATTCATATTTTTCCACTTGTTCCTTAACTTGAAAATCTTAGCATTTTTAAGTCACAAAGATTGAACCATCCTTATTTTCCCCAGTTTTCTGCATAATCATCTGAGACAGCAAGCAGAGAAACTTCAGAGAATGGAATGAAAGAATCTTTTATTAGCTATTGTCTGTTACAATTCTGGCTGCTTATACCTCAAGGAATACCACTCTGTCAATTACAGATGTGAACCACTAATTATTCTTCCTCAGAGTAATAACAGGCACTTTACAGATCCTTGTTTAATTTTTATGCATATATGTATTTGCTTAAACTCTTCCCCTGTATTTTTGCAAAAATAATACATCAACTCGTTTAAACAGGAATATCAAACGCACTGTCAGAATGCTATATATAAATACCTGCATTACTCACAGAATCATAGAAATGTAGGTCTGGGGACTCCAGCCCCCTGCACTGTGGCAGAACCAAATAAACCTAAATCATCCTTGACAGGTGTTTGTCCAACTTGTTTTTAAACACTTCCAATGATGGGAACTCCAATGACCTGCTTTGAGCAGGGGGTTGGACTAGATGACCTCTTGAGGTCCCTTCCAACCCTGATATTCTATGATTGTATGATTCTATGACCTCCCTTGGAAGCCAATTCCAGAGCTTAACTACCCTTAAAGTCAGAAAGTTTTTCCTCATACCTAACCTAAATCTCCCTTGCTGCAGATTAAGCTCATTACTTCTTGTACTATCTTCAGTGGACCTGGAGGACAACTGATCACCCTTCTCTTTATAAAAGCCCTTTATAAAAACATAACAGAGACTTACTAGGTTGCCCCTCAGTCTTCTTTCCCCAAGACTAAACATGCCCAGTTTTTTTCCCAACGTTTCCTCATAGGTCAGGTTTCCTAAACCTTTAATCATTTTTGTTGCTCTTCTCTGAGCTCTTTCCAATTTGTCCACATCCTTATCTAATTCATATACCTCATAGGGGAAAAGGGGGAGTTGGAACTAGGGTGTGGTGTAAAAGAAATGACAAACAGCTAAGATTAGGCCCTGAGATGAGAGGAAGGGTTAGCTGTGTTAGGGGGAGGTTAAAGAAAAGCCAGAGGCTGAAATTAGGTTAAGGAAAACAGTGGATCTGAGATTACATTGTGAGTTAGGAGGAATATAGGGTTGGGTTAGGGTCCAGGCAATGGATTGAGGTCTAAATCAGGGATGAAGGTGTCAGTATGGGGGATGGGGGTAGTGGGAAAGGTATAGGACTGGATGGTTGGAATTGAGAAGGTGATGGGCTGGAGTTGCAGAGATGCAGGACTGGAGAGGGGATGGTGGTTGGTGGCAATGAGGGACAGCAGTTGGGGGCGGATATGAAGGGTTGGAATTAGGAGAAGATGCAAGGAAGGGCAGAGGTAGGGGTTGGGAGTGAATAGGAGTTAGGAGCGTGGTCTGGGGGAAGATGCAGGGCTGATGAGAGGTAGGAATTGGAGTGAAGGCGAAGAATTGGAGTTAGGAGAGTGGTTTGAAGGGAGATGCAGGGCTACTGTGGGGAAGGTGTAAGTAAGGGATTTGAAGTTGGGGAGATGCAGGGTGGGTGTAGGGGAACATAGGGTTGTGTAGGGCAGGGGACCTGAGGGGATAAGATGCTGTTGGGGGTGGTGGTATGAGGATGGTGTGAGCAGAGGAATATGAGGGGGTGAGATGGTTGGGGTAGCTGCAGGGCTGGTGTGCGGCAGGGGAGGTGAGGGAATGGGGGTGGTTTGGGGTGGGGAGAGCTGCAGGGCAGCGGAGGTGAGGGAATGGGGTGATTTGGGGATGGGGGAGCTGTGGGGTGGGTGTAAGGGGGAGTTGAAGGGGTGGGGTGGTTGGTTTGGAGGGAGCTGGAGGTGTTGTGGGGCAGCGGAGGTGACAGGATAAGGTGGTTTGCAGCGGAGGAGCTGCAGGGCTGGTGTGGGGCTGGAGAGGTGAGGGGATGGGGTGGTTTGGGGTGGCGGAGCTTCAGGGCTGGTGTGGGGCATGGGAGGTGAGGGGCAGGGTGATTTGGGGGAGGATCTGGGGATGGTGACGGGGCTGGGTGATTTGGCGGACCTGGGGCAGGTGTAAGGGGTCGTGTGGGGCATGGGAAGTGAGGGGATGGGGTAGCTGGAAGGAGCTGCCGGGCTGGTGTAGGGCTAGGGAGGTGAGGAGCGGGGTGATTTGCGGGGATCTGGGGATGGTGAGGGGGCTGGGTGATTTGGGGGAGCTGGGGCAGGTGTAAGGGGTGGCGTGGGGCAGGGGGAGTTGAGGGGGTGGGGTGGTTGGTTTGGAGGGAGCTAGGGGGTTGCGATGCAGGGGATGTGGGGGGGTGGTTTGGGGGAGGGGAGCTGCAGGGCTGGTGTGGGGCAGGGGAGGTGTGGGGCGGGTGATTTGGGGGAGCTGGGGCTGGTGTAAGGAGTGGTTGGTTTGGAGGGAGCTGGGGGGTTGCAATGCAGGGGATGTGAGGCGTGGTTTGGGGAAGGGAGGTGTGGGGCAGGTGATTTGGAGGGAGCTGGGGGGCTCCAGTGCAGGAGATGTGAGGGGTGGTTTGGGGCTGGGGAGCTACAGGGCTGATGGGAGTAGAGGTGATTGGGGAGAGCTCGGGGCGGGGCAGCGCAGGGGCAGCTGAAGGGGTGGGACGGACAAAGGGTGTTTCCCCACAGGGGCCGATGCCAGCCCACAGCCTCCCCGGATCCCGCCTCGCAGGCCCCTGGCCCCGCCCCGGAGCTGCCTGGCCGCCTCCGCTGCACCATGGCCGGTGGGCCTGAGCGGCTGCTTCCCCTGGCCCTGGGCTGCCTGGCCGTCTGGGCCGCTCTGGCGGAGCAGCAGCTGCGCTTCAAGCCGGCCCCGGCCCCCAGCCCGGTGCGGCTCTTCACCGAGTCCGAGCTGGCCAGATACAGCGGGCAGGAGGTACGGGGGCACCGCCGGGCCCGTCGGGGAGAGCGGCGTCGCGGATGCGGGTGGGGAGAGGGCGCCGCTCGCTGGGGACCTGGGGGCCATGGGCGCTGGCCCCGGGGGCATGACTAGGTGGGGGAAGGCGCTGCTGCATGGGCGGAGGGCACTGCCCCTGCGGAGATGGGGCGGAGTTGTTACTACCGGATGTGTGACACCCCCACCAGAAACTAGCCACAGCCCTGCTGTGTCTGGAGCAGTTTGATGCCAACTTTACCATCTCTCTCCTAGAGACTTTAAAACTTTTCATGTCAAAGGAGACCAAGTGTCATCACACAGTGGAGCTACCTAATCAGCTCTCTCCAACTGGGGAGCATAGTCACCACTCTCAGACTAAAAACATTGCTGGGAAACAAACGAGGAGACGGTGATAAAAGAAACCAACTTGTGCGAGCCAGGATATTAGAACAGTGTAGTTACAATGACAAACATCGGACAGTCTGGACATTTTCAGTTAAGAACACCACTTGTTGCCACATGAAAGAAACACAAGTCTTCCCCATTGTATATATGAATCTCAGTGGTATGATCTTTTGTTATATGGAGATATAACCTGCATTCTGTTCACCTCACTCAACACGCACATTTCCAGCTTATACTTATACAAGATCTGAGACCTGTCTTACAAGGATGTGTAATTTATAGCGAGGATGAGGGGACCACACCTGGTATGATCAGAAAAGTGACTAAAGCAGATGAAAAAGGTGCTAGCCTGCATCCACATTACAGAACGGTTGTGTTAGCAGCTGATGAGTTGTGCTAACCTGAGATTTGGTCTGTGTCACTGGGCAGGCTGGCCCATAAGAGTTAAAAGCACTACAGCCCTCATACTAAGGGTCTGTATGTGTGGATGGGGCAATACTTGAGTTAAAATTTTGCAGTGAAGACAAGGACATTATGATGGGCACAGCAGGCTCTTATGGATCATATGTAGAGGCTAATATGACATGTTTTTGTAATGAGCTGGCTAGTGTGTATATGTACGTACCATTGCTCTCTACTAGGTAACAGTAGAACTGTTCAAGTATCTGTCATAGGTCCTATATTTTTAACAACTTATTGTGATGCCCTTTTAGCCCATATAATAAGGGCCTATGATTTTGGAGCAGGAGGATCCAACTTGTATTTGTACTCTTGCAATGAAGTTTTGAGTAATTGGGGTGTGCTGTATAGTGACAGCTATAAAGTCCAAGGTGATCAGACTTATACATGGCCTTAGGAGTACACGGATCTTTACATACAGATGCAGAATTACAGGATATTGCCTAACCATCTTACAATCTACATTTAGAAATAGCATAAGTAATGGCACGGGAGGAGGTTAACAAATTAATATTGTTTAGTGCAAAATTAATTTTTTTCTCTCTCTACTTATTGTCAAGAGAGTTGGAGAGGAGGTTAATAGTGGACAGGGGACAGAACTGGGGCTGGAAGAAGATTGTTGTGTTGTGTGCATGAGGACGGTAGACGGGATCAGACTGTAGTGGGAGGAAGAGAGAGAAGAGTAGCAGAGTGGAATGAGGGCACAAAAGAAGGCATGGCAAAGGAGGCAGAGGTTGGTGAGATTAGTTAATATGGTCAGTAAGTGAAAAGTCAGCAAGGCACATTAAAGGTTAGTGATCAATATATTAATGGGAAGGAACTGATAGATCATATGGCAATTGATGGTGAGAATCAGTAAGGCAAAGATTCAATAAGCCTAGCAGAAATGGTCAGCTGTCAGCCATGGATGTAACTACATGTTTTGGTCTTGTCCTGTACAGTGAAGGCAGGGGGAAAGTCTGGTTCAAAATAGCTCGGCTCCTCAAAACTCCCATTGATTTCAATAGGATCTGCTGGCTGCTGGGCACTTTAGAAAGTCTGGTCACAGCTGTTTAGTGGCATATTAATAGTTTGAAGGCCAGAATTTTAACCTGAGATACTGGGCATCTGTGACTCATAGCTGAAGGTTAGAATGGGGATGATGGAGACGCTAAGGACTAGAGATAAGGTTTCTACTGGGATCTTAAATTCCTGACTTTATTTTAAACTAAAAATGAGATAAAATAGATATCTATTGACAACTTTAACTCTCAACTAAGCATGTGTGTGAATTTCCTTTTTTTTTTTTAACAACTTCAGAACACCAACATTTCTGAAGTAATTTTTTTCTTCCTAGCACTATTTTAAAGAATTTTAGAGAAGGAGGAAAGAAAGCTGTATTATCTTTAAGGTAATTGTATTGCCTTATAATAATAATTTGCAAGTACCTGTCAACCAAAGTTTTCAAAACACTAAACAAATGTGGTTAAGTGAGGTGCTGCTGAAAGTCACACAGTGAATAGTTTGGAAGAGAATCCAGGTTTCCTAACTCTAATTTCTTTCTCTAATCAGTTCTTATACAATAGATCAAAAATGTGCAACTGGTGGAAACTCTTCTATAGATAGCCCTGTTTGAGATTTTGTCTAGTGAGACAGGCCAAGTTCACTAAACAGTCCTTTACCCATCTCAGGCACATATAATAATAGAAATGCCTTTTCAAATCATAGTGTACAAATAGTACAGTCAGTTTCAAGGATATCTCGGGTATTGTAGGGACAAGGTTCTTAAACATCTATCCAAGCAGGTCAGTTTCTCCCAGGCTGCTCAAGAGAACCATCAAAATAATCAGGCAATGGGCCCAAAGTCTCTAGTTGTTTGTCAGATCTCCCCTTTTCCCCAGGATGAACACCACAATGGTAGAACAGGATATTTTTCCTGTTTCCTTCCTGACAGAAAACGAACAGATACCAGATATCTGCTCCCATCTGAGTGTTTACAGACAGTTCCTCAGTTTTAGACATCTGTAGAATGTGCTTCTCCATAAATACCAAACCACTCAATAGGCTACTGGAATACACAACTCTCCCTCACTCTCTCCCTCATCACTAGCACTATAACTACCGAGGTCTCAAAATTTTACAGAATCACAGCTACCTATTTATTCTTCCAAAACCTGTGGTGATCCCTCCAATGAGGTAATCCTCAAAGAAAATTCTTCCCATTTACAAAGTTATTGTTCTCACCTGAGCTAATTCCATAGCCTTCAGAGATGTGTAGGGATTAAATGAAGTATCCATCCTACTCTAATCCTTGCCTGCCAGGATTAGAGTAGGCCAATGGATTCAAAATCTTCCTTTAATGTATTCTTCTAGCTCATTAAGTCAAGTATATAGACAGTTTTTAAAAATTATCATAGAATTAATACAGGAATTCAATCTCCAGAAGTTTTAGCTTTCTATGGTGAAAACAAATCTTAGCTAACAAATTCAAAATGATAAAATCCTTTGCTAAATTTATACAGATCTCTTCTCTGAAGCGATTGCTGGTTGGCCTTCTTGGGGTTGTCTCCAGAAACTAAGAAAACACTAACCAGCATCTCATGGACAGAGAGAATAGATTTTGAGGGGAGGACAAAGTGGAATCAGTGGTTTATTAAGCAAAACAGATGTCAGCAGAAGATCAGATTTGTGTGTGCATGTTTGCACTTTATCCTCTTGATGAAAGCAGAATACCATCTGCCATACACCCTTTCACTTCACAAAACATCCACCTCCAGAATGATTTACTTAATCATCTTGGAACAAACAAGTATTATGAACTGACTCCAAAAAAGGCATAGAAAGGGGAAATGTATTGTCTGACTACTAGATTCCAAACAGAATTGTTTCTTCCTTGAACTTCCATCATTTTCTGGGGTTAAATCCATAAAGATTGGCACTTGAAATAGTCTGAGAGTGTTTATTCTAGACTAAATAAATAGATAGGAATTACAAGAATAGTCATCTATGGGAGCAAGAGACAGACTGATGCAGCACAGAAATAAACAGGGCTTTAACATACCGATTCCACTAGTATTTGGTGTCCTAATAGTGAAAACAAGCTCCAATAGTGAGAACAGGAGACTACATCTTCTCCATGTACAACATGGTATTCATAATGCAGACACTCAGAACTTGGCATCACAGCTAGATACCAGTGAAATACACATCACTGGATACCAGTGGAAATTATTCATGTAAATATCACATGATGAATACTGATTTTTTTTGTACACTAACCTGCAAGTGACCTGGAGGCTTTGCAGCCTCTGTTCCCTCCCCCATCCCTGCCATTGACTCAGAATATGGCCTCCTTACTGTATAGTGCCAGCAGCTGACACAGGGATGCATGACTGTTTGGCAACTGACAACAGTCATAATGGCAAGGTATAGAAAACCAGCTTCTTGTTGCCCAGAGACCCACAGAGAAATCTTTATTCGTTTTTTTTTTTTTTTTTTTTTACAGCATGTGATGGATTGGGGGATGAATGAAAACTCCAGGCTGTGAATCTTGTGTGCATTGATCATGATTTAAGTTGCTAGAGAACACACAGTAAGGGGTTCATTTTCTCCTCAATGTGCTGTACACATACTGGCTTCATTTTGAGCACCTGCTGGCCTCTCTTTCTTTCCAGGAGGGCCAGCCTATTTACATGGCCGTGAAGGGAGTAGTATTTGATGTCACTTCTGGAAAAGGTGAGTTGGCTTCTCCCCATGGGGTTTTTCCCCTTTCACATTATCCCATTTTTCTTCTTAAACATCCTAAACCTTTAGAAAACTTCAAACTCTATTTAAATACAAAGAACATACTCATTTGCTCTTAATTCCTAACCATCCTCCTCTGAAGGTGCCTTCTCCCACTCACAGCTTCACACCCCCTTTCATGCTGACCTCTGTCTGGAACAGAATAGATCCTCTTCTTATCCTATCACTTTCTAAGAAATGCTGTAATACCTTTTGATCTGATTGAGGTACCTTCCCATTATATAGATTTACACATTTCCCTCCAACACTGGTTTTAGCTACTCTTTAAAGTTTTTTTTTAAAAGTGCACTTAGGACTGGTGAAAGCTACCAAACTGAGAGCCCTAGAGAGAAATTCTCCATCAGTAGATCAGACACAACTTGGGCAGCAGCTGTATTACAATCTAAGTGAAGACAGCCAGTTGCCATTTTAGGCCACGTTAACTAGTCCAGTTAAGCTAGTTTGTCTTGAGACTTCATTAAAGTTTTGGGAGGAAAAGGGCTCAGATTCAAGTCTTTGGTTTTGACTGATTTAGGAGCATAATGGGCTCATGTCATGCTAGTATAAGCAGATGCTTAATCTGGCCCATTGTTTTCACTATCAATAGTCTGAGCATTACTAGATTTCCTCTCCTTGAACAGAATTTTATGGGAAAGGTGCCCCATACAACGCCCTTGTTGGGAAGGACTCAACACGAGGAGTTGCAAAGATGTCACTTGACCCAGAAGATCTCACTCATGACACAGTAAGAAATGGGATTGTTTGTTTAATTCCTTCTTTGCAAAATTTCAATCATTTTCTTGGCTTTCCTAAAATATATTCCCCTGCTGTATATTTATGCAAAGCCCAATCCTATGAATAAGGAAAATATTTATTTTCTAAGAAATGCCGTAATACCTTTTGATCTGATTGAGACACCTTCCATTATATAGATTTACACGTTTTCCTCTAACATTGGTTTTAGCTACTCTTTAAATTTAAAACAAAAAAAAAGTGCATTTAGGACTAGTGAAAGCTACTAAACTGAGAGCTCTAGAGAGAGAAGTTCTCCATCAGTAGAACAGACACAGCCTGGACAGCAGCTGCCCCATCAACATACCTTCAAGGGATAGCATCTAAAAATGTGTAGTTCAGTTTCCTTGACTAATTCAGTCCTTGGTGTCTCTGCTGAGAATACCAAATGGGCCAACTGTGATGGTGCTTTTTGGAAATGAATTGAACCCAACAACTCACTTTACCTGAGGATGTCAGGCTTTGTCACTACTGGGCTGAATTTGAATAAATGACCTAGGGGTTAAAGGTTATATGATAAATAACCCATTGCCAGTTACTAAGCCCTCTATTGTTTGTGTGCCCCGCAAATTAAATCTGAAGGCTGGCTCTGAGGGTAGGATGATCAACATAAATAAAGACATATGTAAACACCTGCCATTTTTTCTTGCCCATGTTTCATATAGACAGGACTCACGGATGAAGAGCTAAAATCCCTGGATGATATCTTCAATGATGTGTACAAAGCCAAATACCCTATTGTTGGCTACACTTCTCAAAGAATTCTGAATGAGGATGGCAGCCCCAATCAGAACTTTAAACCTGAGGATCAGCCACATTTCAGCATTAGAGATGAATTTTGATGAAGGATTTAGCATCCTGAAAATCCCCAGATGGACATTGTAGAACAACACTGTATGACTGGGAAACATTGACTGTTTCTAAGGCAAAAGAACAGTTTCTATGAATTATGTATCTTTTGTATTTTTGTTATCAGCAGCCCCCACCCCCTGACAAACGAGGATAATGACTGATTACTAATGTAATGAATTCCTTCAAGTAGTGAACCAAATAATATTTAATCAGTGGCACATATTTGTGGACTGAGGAGAATTAATTCAATAAAATTCTCACTGCCAATATCTTGATTTCTCTTTTTTAATATAAAAAGAAAAATTGGATAACTAAAGACTCATTTCTAAAGGGGAGAAAGTGTCCTTTAATAACTGAATCATCAGACTAGGGGTTTTGCCATTTCTGGGTTCTGTTCCTTGTTCTGATGCAAACTTGCTCTATTACGTGAGTCGTCTTGCTTCACTTCTCCGTGCCTCAGTTTCTCCATCAGTAAAATAGGTGTAATAAGGCTTCCTATCTCAGAGGAGTGGTGTGGAGCTTAATATTCATCCTCTTTGATTACAGTGGATATATAAATACTGACTTCCCTGAAATGTACTGTGATACAGCATGGCTATAGGGCAGCAGGAGAGTGTTAGAAGGGAGCCTTAGTCCCTGTAGAGGGAAGAAAGTTTGCTGTAGATTAATTAAAGCTCATGAAGCCAGTCACATGATAAAAAACCCCAGCTTCAATCAGATAAGAGGAGGAGTTGAAGCAGAGTGGATTGGCATTGAAGCAGAGAGCAGTTGGGAGGGAAGCAGAGGAGAGTTTGGAGAAGTGTTGCGGTGGGCTAAGAAGACCAAGACTCTAGGTAAAGGGACCCCTGGTTTGTGCAGAGGGAGGGCAGAAAGCTCCACAAGCTGAAGGGCAGGAGAGGGAAGTAGCCCAGGGGAAGGAACTGCTAGTTCAAGTGGTTTACCTCTATCCCTAGGGCCCCTGTGCTGGGACCCGGAGTAGAGGACGGGCCCAGGTCCTTCCCTCTCAACTTCTCTCCTCTAGGACACTAGTGGGGCAGTTAATACCCCAGTTCACGGGCAAGAAACGGTACCCTGAACCACCCCCAAGAAGAGAGAGCGCGAGACCCATCACAGTAGAGCTGGCAATTTGCCACAGTCCTTAAATGCTGTATGTTTATGCAAAGCCCAGTGTTACAAAACAAAGACTATTTTTTTTTCTGGGAAATGTAATATTTAATTACCTTTTTGATTTGGTATAGGCTATGGCTACACTCAATAGCTCACAGCAGCGCTGCTGCAAGATCTCTAGTGGAGCTGCTGTACACTGACGAGAGAGAGGTCTGCCATCGCCTTAAATAATCCACCCCCAACAAGTGACAGCAGGAGAAGGTCTCCTGCCACCATAACGCTGTCCACACCAGCACATAGGTCTGTGTAATTTATGTTGCTTGGGGGGTGACTTATTCACACCCCTGGGTGACCTAAGTTATACTGACATAAGTGGTAGTGTAGACATGGCCTAACTCACTCTTACTATTGCAGTAGTTTCAGCAAAATAGCACTTTTTTGTAATACATTTACATGGGTTTGTCACTTTAAAATTAGGTCATGATGGTTCCTTAGTATCAACGCCTAATTCCCACAAACCAAGAGAAATTATAACCTAGGACCTATGGTTATCGTAAAGTCTTTGTTCACATACTGTAAAGTATAAGTTTACTGTGATTATTTGTCTGACCCGAATATTCCCAGCTTCTTTATGCTGTCAATTAAACTCTCTGGTTGACTCTACATATAGGTACAGGAACTAGGGGTGCTGCCACAGCCCCTGGCTTGAAGTGGTTATCATCATATGCAGACTTTACAGTTTGGTTCAAGGGCTCTCAGCACCCCACCCCCACCCTACACAAATTGTTCCAGCACCCTTGTCTACCAGAGTTTAAAAATGGAAAAAGCACTATCAGGTTCTCTGCATTATTACTTTTGCTAGCTTGATCATTGCCACTCCAGTTCCCTTGAAAGAGGTGAGAGGGTGTGTGTTTGTTTTTTTTTCTGTTTAACCTAATTTACAACTCCAGGTCCTGCTGGGGGGAAAACAAGTCCTCTCCTCTGTCAGATTTCTCTTGGCAGTCTTTCAGGCTGCTTTTAATTTACATAGCAACCAGAGAACATTAAATGCTTGTGCTATACCAAGTGCTGCTAACTACTGACTTCCACTAACTGAAGTCAAATGCTAACTGTCATGTATGTGGATTTACCTGCCACCATGACAGTTTGAATTAGCACTGAGAAATTGAGCAGCTGCTTCCAATTTCTTAAAGATAATTTGCTTCATTAGGTTAAGCTCCTGGCTGCTTTCTTTCAAAGAGTAAATGATTAAATCATTTATTCTCCCTCTCCTGGGATCTGTACACTATATAGCATATTGTGGGAAAAGGACAATTGTCTGATAATCAAAGAAAAACTTTTTTTAAATTATCCCTTTCATAACATCAATACTTACTCTAAATTTGCTTTGTGCCTTAAGTCCCTTTTTTCCCTTATAGCCATTCAGCAGTATAGTGTAAGACGCGTTGGGCAAACTTTTTGGCCCAAGGGCCACATTGGGATTGTGAAACTGTATTGAGGGCCCAGTGGGAAAGGCTGTGCCTCCCCAAACAGCCTGCCCCCACCCCTGATCTGCCCCCTGACTAACCCCCCCCAATGTCATAACCATTGAGTCCCACTCTAGTATGCTAAGCACGAGAGTGTAACCTTTTAAAAAACAGCCAAGTCATATGTTGTAAGATATCTTTTTTGGCGTGGTGAGGGAGTTGATTGGGGGCTGAATTTTACACTGCTGAAAGGTAACATTTGCCTTGGAGACAAATGTGTATGATGTCAACTGTACATTTTTAAAAAATTTTTCCTAAAAATATCACATTTATTGTCACCCCTTCTTTAGAGCTGGTTTTGTTACCCTGAGTTTTGCATCATTTCGCGAGACCATTGATCTATCTGAAATTTGCACTTAAACAAGCAGACAGTGAGAGGTCCCATTACAGGCTCCTGACTTACCCTGTGTTAGGATATAGATATTCAGGCCTGTCTGCAAAGGCCTGTACTTTAAGAATTTAGGTGTATTCTTATCACTTGGCGAGTTAGAGGTATAAAAGAAAGAAAGAAAGAATCAAAATCACTGTCTGCCAGTGTAAGGTCCTTCTCTTACTGTGACAGTCTGCGGCCCTGTTCTTAGATTAAGGCCTTTGGCTAAGCAACAGAGGCAGCCATAAGCTGGGAAGTGAACGGTCACATCCTCACGTTCCAAACTAGTCACATTGAAATAAGGTGCTATTGGGCTGTTAGGAATACAATCCTGTCCTGATAGTGCCTATCACCTCCAGAGAAAGGGAAGTGCCTAGAAGATGTAAAAGGAAACTTAGTTTGATATCATCCTGTCTGGCAAGAACTCACTTATCAATACTGGGATGTGAAATCCTCACTTCTGTATTGTTTTGTCATTATAGTTCCCACTTTGCTATTGTTTGTATAATCTCTGTCTGGTTCTGTGATTGTTCCTGTCTGCTGTATAATTAATTTTGCTGGGTGTAAACTAATTAAGGTGGTGGGATATAATTGGTTACATAATCATGTTACAATATGTTAGGATTGGTTAGTTAAATTTCAGGAAAATGATTGGTTAAGGTATAGCTAAACTAAACTCAAGTTTTACTATATAGTCTGCAATCAATCAGGAACTGAGGGGGTGGGTGTGTGGGTGGGGGAGATGGGAATAGGGGTGAGGAAATTGGAATCATGTTTTGCTAAAGGGGGAAATGGGAACAGGGAATGGGGATAAGGAAATTGGAATAATGTTTTGCTAAGGGCAGGAATGGGAATAGGGACACAGGAGACAACCCAGGAGACCTGAATCCTAGTTCTAATCACTAGGGTTGGGATTTTCAAAGGAAACTTGATGGAATGAGGTGCCCAAATCACATTGAAATTCAATGGGAGTTGGGAACCTAACTCCTTTATGTGTTGTCTACATGAGAAAATTATACATTTTAAACTAAATCAGTTTAGATTTATATCAGTTTAGTGATTTTTTTTTTCCTCCCTTGGTATTCACCCCTTCTTGTCAACTGTTGAGACTAGTACACTTCCACCTTAATTGAATTGGCTCGTTAGAACTGACAGCTCCCACCCCCCTACTTGGTAAGGCAACTCCCATCTTTTCATGTGTTGTATATTTATACCTGCCTACTGTATTTTCAACTCCATGCATCTGATGAAGTGGGTTTTAGCCCACGAAAGCTTATGCCCAAATAAATTTGTTAGTCTCTAAGGTGCCACAAGGACTCCTCATTTTTTCAGTTTAGAAACTGATGTCATTAAGTCATTACAACACCTTTGTGTGGACGCATTTCAGTGCCTCTTTGGGTGAATGTACTCATTTCCATGACTCAAACTAATATGAGAATTCCATCCATTTAACATCAGTTTCTACACAAATTTCATTAAATTGGTACAGTTTTATCATGTAGATAAGGCCTTGGGTTTCTTTGAAAATTGCAGCCATGCTACCCAAGAGTCTTTGTGATCCAAGGATATCAACTGTATATCTGTAGTGCTATAGGAACCAATCTTAGATCACATTTCAGGCCAGGAATAGCTCTAGATGTTTGGGAACAAAGCTAAGTAGGAAAGGCTATCTTACTAAGAATAGTGAGAACAGAGGATGCTTCTCTATTTAGCTACAATACATTGGAGGTGAGGTACAAATTTCACCAGGAGCAGTAATCAACTCCTCTGTCTTGTGTTTGGTTTTGAAAAGGCGTTCTGCTGCTACAGCTTGTTTTTTTGCAAAACTACTGGGTGTGGGGTGTGTGGGGGAGAATCACTTGATGTGGCAGGAGGGAAAGAGGAAGAAAACTGTTTAGCTGACTTTTAAAAAATTAATCTGGCACTTATTTATAAATAAACTTGCCTGAAACCTGTTCAAACCAATTTGCATTTGTTGTAAAGGGAATGGGAGTGCTCTGAAGAGTTGCATGCAGAAATCCAATAGTGATTTCTGAGCAGATCTGGTCAAACTGTAAAAGAACTGATTCATTGTGAATGAAATGGCTAGTGGATATTCACAAAGATGTCTGCAACTCCCAAAAGCTGTATGAATTATGAAAATTCATACAGGAAGGGTATTATCTGCTATTTTTTAGTCTTTCTAGAATGTTTGTCATCTAATCAGGAAATAAGACATAACCTGTGATGCAGGTGAATGAGCACCACAACATCAGTAATAAACATA